TATGGGATATGGCGTTTATAAGCTGTGACTTGCGACGACCAAAGCTTTGACTTGAAACTTAATTAACCTGCTACCTGCACAACATTTTCGAAATTGCGACCTTAATTAACTCCTTAGCAATACATGTTCAATAATAAGGTTACTTAATTCATCTTCAAGAAATCTTCTTTTAAGAAATACAGTGCTAGGAAAAGCGCAAATTATACCATATGACCGGTATACGGTGAGCACCGTATACCGGTCTTTATTTTTGGCAAGCAGCGTATACGGTATTTTTGACTTCTTTATTTTTTATTCCTTTTTTTGTTAAAAATTGTAATAACTTTTTTATTTCATATCCAATTTTTATAAATTTTATATTAAATTTTGTTATTTTTCATGATCTATCAAATGAGACCAATACTGCTTATGTAATTTTAACAAATTATCAAACTATTATATAAATGATTATTGGATTATAAGGGAAACCGAACTAAATTTATACAGAAAAATAATTGTGTAAATCACAATTTATCTTAAAATTGTGTATATAAAAAAATTGTTGTATTATGTATTTATACATGTGAGTTACATATTTTTATACGTAAAGTTACATATTTTTACACATAAAGTTACATATTTATACACACGAGTTGCATTTGGCCTGCCTGAACGCGAGTTACATATTTTCAGACGTAAAGTTACATATTTTTACACGTAGAGTTACATATTTATACACGCGAGTTACATATTTATACACACGAGCTGTATTTGACCTGTCTGAACGCGAGTTACATATTTTTACACGTAAAGTTACATATTTTTACACGTAGAGTTACATATTTATACACACGAGTTGCATTTGCCCTGATTGGACGTGAGTTACATATTTCTACACGTAAAATTACATATTTTACATAGGTTAATATAATAGTTCGATAATATGTTAAAATTACATAGGCAATATTGGTCTCGTTTGAAAGATTATGAAAAATAAAAAATTTTGATATAAATTTTATAAAAACCAGATCACAAATGAAAAAGTTATTATAGTTTTTAACAATAAGAGAAATAAATAAATAATAGGACTCACTATCATTTTAATACATGTTTCATGTGGAGCTTCCAAAGATGCCTAAAACCGTATGTCGGTATACGGTGCTCACCATATACCGGTCACACGGTATAACAACTGAGGAAAAGGGATATTTCTTAAAATAGAGTAAATATATTTTTAGTTGGATTGAAATTTGATGTTCTGTTCTGGTCTGTTTAAGTCTTGTCTGGTCTATTTTAAGTCTGGTCTGGTCTGGTCTATTAACATAGCAGTATTTATTATAATTAATGGCAGTATTTTTCAATCATGGCAATATTTTTCATACATGGCAGTAACAAGTCCTATTTCGAGAAGAAAAACATAGTAGTCCTATTTTGAAATTCCAAACCTCATTTACTCCTATTTATAACAATTTCCCCGAGGAAAAACCTTCATAAGGTAGGTTTTTTAATGTAATCATATGACATGGTAGTTACTCCCCGGCCTACATCCCAAAATATAGTTGTTAAGATTTGGGGTTCCATTCTAAAAGGTCAACCTGATAGGATGAGTAGCTCAAAGCCTTATATAGTGTTTAATTGTTTTATAGCTTTTCGGTGTGGGACAAATGCTTTAACATGCCCCCTCAGTTCGAACCAAGCTGGACAATATCGGGGTGTATAAATGGGCCAAACAGACCCTTAACAAGCTACCATTAATCATGGGTGCTAAACAAGCAGTCAAACCACAACCGGACTTGGCTCTGATACCGCATCACATCATGATATTCCAATGTTAGTGGAACGGAGATAGTATTATTTAAGTGATTATAATTCATTCTATTTCTTGCTTTATTCACTTTACTAATTTAGTATCAACCACACAACTCCAAGTTTCTCACACCGGAATATTTGATTGTTTAAAAATGAAAAAATGATACGGAGTATAAGAATAAAAATAAGAGTTTAATAAAATGTGAACTGCTAATTGAATATATTGACGGTGGTGGATTGGATGAAAAAACTGAATTAAGGATGTTTTTACTTGGACTGTAATTTGCTGGTCAGGTTAGGTCTGGTCTAGTCTGATCTGGTCTGGTCTGGTCTGGTCTGAACTGGTCTGGTCTGGTCTGAACTGGTCTGGTCTGGTCTCGTTTCTTTGTATTTTTATAACTATCCAAGTCTGGTATAGTCTGGTATGGTCTGGTCTGGTCTGGTCTGGGACGAATTACAGTCCAAGTAAAAACATCCTAACTTAATACATGTGTATAAGCCGGTAGAGAATTAGATTTAGTGATAAAAGTGGTTGCAATTAGCCTAAAGTGTAAAGTTGGTCTTAAATTCAACGCCGTATGTTAGGATTGGCCGGGAAACTTTACCGCTCGGGCAACTTTTATTTTACCTTTATCTAAAATATTAAAATAAATCATTTCATTTTCTACGGGGCCGGCCCCGGTGGTGTGCAGGGTTCCAACCGCACAGAGCCCAAAAAATTGGAAGGGCCCAATTTTTTTTGTAGTAGTATACTAGTATTACTTAGAGGTGGTTTCGGTTCGGTTTTGATATAAAACCAAATGAATTACAAAAAAAATGGACTAGGGCAAGGCTTTGAAGCAGGCCTGGTTCGTCACTTCACGTATTCCTCATCTGCAAAGGAGGAGCGTGTATATAGGAACGAAGGAGTAGTAAATCCTCTGTTTCCACCGGTGTGAGAATCTTAAGCTTTAGAAACAAAAAAGAAAAGAAGCGAGGCGTGTGGGATTTGAACTCAGGTGAAAATAAAAGCATGTACGCTGATTTCTAAACATCAACCACCAGACCAAATCAACTAATTGTTGAAATACAGACGTACAAGTTTTATATTGCCTATTTGTTCTACAAAATAAATAATTAAAAATACCTCTTAATAAAAATCGGTTCGGTTTGAACCGATCTTATAATTTAAAAAACCTTCAATAAACTGATTTGTGTTTGAGTCCCGATTTTCGGGTCCCGTTTGAGTCGGTGCGGTTTCGGTTCGGTTTTTTTAACTTGTGTTGAAACTTTGAAAAGAAGACTCAATTATTATTTTTTGTACAGGGCCTTCATTTCCTCAGGACCGGCCCTGATTTTCTATATAGCCTAGGTACAACTGTAGCGCAACGTAACTGTAATAGAATGTGTGTGGATCCTATACAGTTGATGGACACCATGTGATCTTATTTTTATTCTTGGTTGTGTGATCGACTAAAATGTAATGTACACTCTTAGAAGAGGACAACCACAATATATCTTTGTAACATACATTATTACTTTAATTTAATTCTAAGAAACTCACTAGAAATTTAAAAATAAAATAAAAATGTATTTAAGAGTCTTCTTTGGTGTTTTAAGCGTCAACCAACTCTTTCCCACCCAGTGAAAAGGCTGAATATAGAGGAGTTGCTAATGTTGTTGATGAGTCATGTTGGCTGCGAAATCTCCTCCTTGAACGTCGTCTGCCACTTCGATGTGCTACTACTGTATACTATGATAACATTAGAGCGGTGTATCTCTCAAGTAATCCTGTTCAACATCAACTCATTAAGCACGTTGAAATTGATATACATTTTGTTCGCGAGCGTGTTCAACTTGGAGATATTTGCGTCCTGTATATACCCGCTCAGTATCAATATGCCGACAATTTTACTAAAAGGCTTCCTCGGCAACTTTTTTGTCGTTTTAGTGATAGTCTCAGCATCCGAACATCTCCTGCTTCGACTACGGGGGCCTAATAGCATAACATATTTTGATGTATTCTCTTACCATAGTTAGATAATTTATAATAATTTTAGTATTGTGTAAATCCCACATAATCCTCTTGAAATTATTCTCCTTCCTTAGATACTACCATTATTCTTGTATAAAGTGTGGTAATGCAAAAGCTTCCCCTCACGAGGTCTTGTACAATCTCTTTTAATACTACTAGTATCTGGGTATTAAGTTTTCCTTCATATCACCTACTGGGAGAGAGTAGAGGTTAGAAATTTATCGAAGAACTATCGGTGATATGTTGAGGCGGAGCAGGATATATAACTCATCCCTTCTGTGGAACTTTGAGTTAGCTGTTTGCATCCAAAGATGGAGCAAGGCTAGTAAGCCGCAAAAATTAAAGGTGGACAACTCTGGATACGGTGGGAAAGTCCATATATATCACATGAAATAACATACTGACTGGGTCCTTCATGTCAATTTACAATATGGTAGGACAATTTTATTTTAAGCTTTTAGGTGATTATATTATTATGGGAACTGAAAAGAGTGGAGCATAAAATGCATTCGAGTAGTGGAGTAATGATCCTTGACAACATTGATAAATTATACGTAGTAGAAGAAGTTGAGGCCCTCAAAACTTCTTAGTTTTAGATGCTAAGAAATAATGGACGCCCCACAACAACTCCGATGAAGCCAACAGTGCCCTCCGATCGAGTCTCAAGGTGGAGGAGCTTGAGCCACTCGACAATGAGGAAGGACTGCAAGATAAACTCACAGAAACTCGGAAGCGTGTCGAAAACCCGAAAACATCGAATCTCCATCAGTTTTAATTTTTCGTTAAAGATTCTCATATTGAAAGTCCCTACGGTTCTAGGTTTTTTTTTAATTATAAATAGACTTAGAACTTCATTAAAGATTATTTTGTCAAATGATTACATTATTAGTCCTACGAAACATAAGTCTTATTTTCGCACTTGTTCATTATTTTAGTCATATTTAGGGAATTAAGTCTTTACACTTTAGACCAAGTAATATATTTGTATATTACACTCCCTTCATCCTGATAATATTGTCTCATTTTTCCTTGGCAGGATGTAACTTGATAGAAATTCATCTATATATGATTAGAATTAAACATTCACGGATTTCTAATATATGACTACCAAATTTAAGTGTATCATTATATGAGTAATAATTAAATTGAAGGGGGAAATAGCCCCAAAAGAAGCATGATACATGCAAGACACCACTCATTCAGGAATACAAAAACTAATTACTCATAATTCAGGAATCATCGTCTCTTTTAGTCATATTACTAGCAATTTTCTCTAGTAAAATGAGTGTGGATACAAGACATACATGATAAAACTTGAGAATGATCAAGGAAATATGCATTCCAAAATCATGCCTCAGGCTCAATATTGTTGGCGTAGACAACCAGAAACCAAATGGAGTAAAGAAAGAATACACCACAAATCACAATGCCACTAATTGTGAGTTTGTTTACTTTTCTGAGACTTGTTGTGATATGAGCTAGTAGTGCTGCTTTGCAAGAATCGCAATAGAAGCAAAGTTGATCATTGTTCCAGTTTGAGCAATCGCCACCTAACGGTGATGTTTGATTGCTTGTCCAATATATTGGGCTCACGAATGTGAAGCTACAGTTTTGAGGTGGAAGGCAACATCCAGACTGCCAAGAGGCTAAAATTAGAGTACTTCATATGAATGTTTGTTAGAATGAATTGAAGATTATATATATCTACTGAGAATACAATCAAAACCATATTTGAGAAATTAATTAGTAATGATTTAAAATAAAGGTCATACTGGCAAAGTGAAAATATGCTAGTAGGGTATTAGGAAGCCGGAGTTTGAAAATTTTATATTATAAGAGTTAAAGAATAGAAAATCAACATGTTTTTTGAGATTATAATATTTGCACATGTATATACACAAAGGCATTTTTTATTGGTGGACCGAGTCACGGAGGCCCTATCTTGCGCATCCTTGTCTCCGGCACTCGAGAGTCACATGTGTGTTAGCCCTAAATAGGAGTCAATTAATCAATCTTTAAATACATAAATAGAACTATGTTGTTTATCTTCCAAAAAACAGAAATAAAGTATACCATATCTTCCTATTCTACTCTTGCATGACTAAAGGAAATCTCTCCGTCCCATTGGACAAATGTAGTATCAATTAAGATAAATAATAAAAATTATTTTAATTTATAATAAAATCTTAAAAAACATTAAAATGTCAAGAATATTTTTTAAAAATTAAAAAATAATAAAGTTTAAATAAAAAAACTAAAAAAATAGATAAATAACACACATAAAAATATATGCAGAGGTCTTTGCCACAAGCTCCGCCACCTCCCACTAATGCCACCTCCAATAAACAAAAAACTACTATTTTGTATTAAAAACGCCTCTCTTTGAAAATGTTAACTTTTTTCTCAAAAATGCCACCAAGTTAGCACTGTTGACACATATTGACGTTTTTTCGACCGTTGAAGCTGGTGGTGTTGGGGAGGTACTTGGTGAGGCAGCAAGAAAGGCTAGCATTTCTTTAATTTAATTTTTACGTTTTTTATTTTTCTATTTCAAGTTTCATAATTTTGATTTTTTTTATTTTTATTAATTTTATTCAATATTTATTCTCGTGTTTTAATTTTTACATTTTTTTAAAAATAAATTATGTTGTTATTACTCTGATGATTTAATTATTAAAACAAAGCATTGAAATTAAACATGTAGCGAATTAAGGAAGGCTGCTTTTATGAATTTGTATACTCATATTTTAATTACCCAGAAATACTTTTACTCTTACCCAGGCATTTTCACAATTTGGTCTTTAAAGTATGTTACCTCTAAGGCAGTGAGAGGCGCAGTTGATAGTCGTAAGAGCGAGTCATAGGTGGCATTCACGACATCGCAGGAAACATAAAAAATGAGACAGTGTGAGACGGAACCATTCCACTGGGCAAGTACCCCGTCTCGAAATGAGGCGGGGAACTGATCGAGACGGTATTCCTTGTAAGCCGGCCGGCCCGGCACCGGATTCGGGGAAACGGCCGATGATCTCCCGATGACCTTGGACAGCCTAACAAGCTTGCCTGCGGACAAGGCGAAGACGATAAACACGGCCACAATAAAAATCAGCGTCCATTTCTTGTTGTGGGCCGTAATATCGAAGTCGACGTCGTTCTCGCTGGGCCTACCGCATATTGAGAGAGAGTACGCTATGGCGAACACAGGCATTAGAATAATGATTGAGATAGTAAAGACTTGGCCGCTGTTAAGCTTGGCACAAGTGGATTCTATTTTTGCGGCACAGGTCATGACGATAAGGATGGACACTACGGGTACTACAAATAATGCACAACTATGTTGATCTCCTTCCGCCATTTTTCAATACTTGAATGAATAAATCAAGATGATATATATAGCAGCTTGGCCTATATTTCAGAATAATCTCCATTCTCTTGTCTCCACCATTTATATATATATATAATGTCGATCGGGAGCATATGGAACTGAAACACGTACAGCTGCCCTCAGCTGCCCGGCTGCCCGGCCACAAATGTTTATATTCAAATAATGATTAAAATTAAGGCTTAACTATATTTTTCTCTCTACAAATAGTATACTTTGTTTTAGATTTCCGTAAAAAAATCGGGTTTTCAACCTTGTAATATGCATTCTTTTGTTTTTAATCATTTTTAACTCTAAAATCACTCCATTTAGAAAAAAACAATTTATTGGTTGTAAAAAATAACTAGAAACTTTTAATTTTTTATTTTAAAATTTTTAGGCTAATATCAGAGTTAAAGTAATGTAAAACTATTTATTCACATTTATAAAATATGTATTAAAAACCTTCTACAAATAAAATTAAATAACTTTTGAGTACTATGAAAAAGAATTAGAGGGAACCTATTAGTCGGGATTGTTTTATTGTCAAATGGAAGTTGTTATCATCGGTCATGGACTAAAAACAAAACCAACTTACCTCCAGGACCCTCCAGGACCGCGCCGTCCGGGACCCTCTAGGACCGCCCTTAAGGACAAGCAAATTTTTTTTTTTAAAATAATTTAAAAAATTATATTCAGGCATATTTATCAAGCCTGTGTACGTAGCGCTCGGTTCAAACATTGAATGCGTATCGAGCTGAGCACGATCCTCATTTGTAAAGCTCGGGGAGCGTTTTTAGCTCGATCTAACCCGAACATCACTATTACTGAATTGAGGCTAAAACCTAAAATCCCCAACACTATAAAACTTTCAACAATTTCCAGCCGGTCCTCCCGCCATTTTAATAGTTATATATTTTGCTTGGTTTGACTTGGATCAGAGTTTAGAGCCCGTTTGGTAATCCTGTTTGTTGTTGCAGGTTCTTGTTCTTCCAATAGAAGTTCCTCATGTAAACCCCTAATATGCATGATTAAACTCGGAATTTACCGATAACCCGGCTTAACCCGAATCGGACCCGGAACAGGTAAAAACTTGGAATTTGTAGAGCCCAGCCGGTTTCTAAACTAATCACACGTAGAACATCCAAAATGCTTAAAAAGGGTTCCAAACCCAGGACCAACCGCTGACCCACCCAAAGGACATCCACCTGTGATCTGTTACGAAGGGCATTAATTTGAATTCACCACAATTTACTCTTGTGAACACTATTGGTTGTTCTAATTATTTTTATGAACACTCTCAGTAAGGATTATTATTGTAAAATCACTAAAAGTATGGATTATTCTTGTGAATTTCGGCTTAATTTATTTAAGAATTTCAGTTGTTATAATAAAGTGATTGTTATTCTTGAATTTGATTTGGAATATTTATTTTGATTGTTTGAAGTTTCATTAAATTTTGCGATCCAAGTAGTTATCACATTTGTTGGCAATAACAAGATTTTATTAAGTTTTTATTTAGAGTTATATTTAGTTACATTTGAAGTTCTATGAGAGTTAATTCTTAGACAAACGACCATTATATTTCAGCTTATTTCCCTTAATCAGATTTCAGCATAAATAAAGCCAACCATTTTTTACATCTCTCTATTATTTTTTTAAATAACGATATGGAGTAACAAGAAAAAGTTAAATTCCAAATTTATTTACTCTTACATTGGAATGTTTGATTTTTTAAAATGGAAAACGAATGATACTCCGTATATAGTACTCCGTATGTAGTAACTTGATATAAATGTATAAACTTGATAAATATGCATAAATTAATAGAGAATTTGATTCATTGACGGAACAATTAATTTGCAATTAGTCTAAGTCTAAAGTTGATTTTAAATTCAACACGGTATACTAGGATTGGCTAGAAATTTTATCGGTCGGGCAACTTTTGTCTTACCTTTATCTAAACTATTAAAATAAATAGAGAATTCCCAAAATAGGAGCAAAACATAGACAAAATGCAAAAATAGGAGTACCATGTTTTGAATAGGAGTAACTTTAGTGTTTGGACAAGTATACCCTTACCCATTCCCCAACAACTTTTAATTAAATGTTTAATTCATAATAAATTCGAAAAAAATTCAAAAAATCGTATAATTAAACAATAATTAAAAAAAATTATAAAATATTAATAAAATAAAAAAATTAAAAAAAAATTAAAATTTTTTATTTTTTCTTAAAAAATAATAAAAAATAGTAAAACTCCATTAAAAAATTAAAAAAATATGGATGTCTTTCCCACCGCTTGTACTACCTCCCTACACCACCGCCTCCGGGCGGTGAAAAAAAATTCCATTTTTCCTAAAAACTGCCTTTTTCTGAAAATGCCAAAAACATGACATATTTCTCTTTGCGAATGCCAACATTTTCATTGTTTTCTGCCATAAATATGGCATTCGTAATGAACTTGGCATTTTTTCTCCTGGTGACTGGAGGTGCTGGTGCTGAGGCGGCAGAGGCGGCGGTGAATTTTATTTTATTTTTTTGAGTTTTTTATTTTTTTTAAAAAATTATATTTTTTTATTTTTTGAATAATAAATAAATAAATAAATTATTATCGAATAAGTCATAAATTAACTAGGTTAGGATTAAATGAGTCATATTTTAGAATTAACTAGGTTAGGGATATTAAGGTACAAAATTAATGTTTACTCCTATTGAAGGAAGTTTTAAGTTTTACTCCTATTTGTGCAATTATGTTTATATTTACTCCTATATTGGGCAATTTCTATAAAATAAATCATCTCATTTTATGAATAGCTTAGGTAGATGTGTACAACTGTCATAGAATGTATGGGCTCCATATCATCTCATTTTTATTTCTTATAGTGTGATCGATTAATATATAATGTACACTCTTAGAAGAGGTCAAGCACAATATATATTCTTAAGATGCATTATTACTCTTAATTCTAAGAAACTGACTAGAAATTGATCGAATACATAATATCCACATATATATAAGTCAAGGGTTCACTATTTTTTGGCTTGAGAATATGATGAAATAAAGTAAATTTGACTCATCTTTTCCGATTTATAAAAAAAAAGCAAAATGACTCAATAAGTTGTCTACGTTTCTTTTTTATGAAGCAGCAACCAGTCCATGCAATTTTCGACGCAATTTTCACTATGCATCATCCGGAACACAGTCTCTATGTGACTTATTACACAGGTAAGACTGCGTACATCCGACTCCTTTACTTCACCAATGGTGGGACCCTTTGTGGCACTGGGGTAATGATGAAGAATGATGAAGAAACTGACTAGAAATTCAAACATAAAATAAATTTGTCTTGAAGAGTCTTGTTTGGAGTACACTTGTTTATATAAAGATCAATTAATCCAAAAGTGGATAAATTATATGTGTGTATAAACAATTTATGGACAATTTTTCACTGAACAAAAAATTGTACAAATATAATTTTGGTATCTTTAATTCTAAAAATCGATGGTATTTGTTAATTTGTAAAGATTTAATTCTGGAACTGTTTATGCATTTTTAGGGGGGTGAATGCCAAAAGACATTTACCATATATTATTAAAAATAAGTTCGGGTACAATAACAGAAAAGAGTGATAAAACAACAACAGCAACAACAACAACAACAACAACAACAACAACAACAGCAACAAGAGCAACAGCAACAAGAGCAACAGCAACAACAGCAACAGCAACAACAGCAACAACAACAACAATAGCAACAACAACAACAGCAGCAAGAACAATAACAGCAACAGCAACAACAGCAACAACAACAACAACAACAGCAACAATAGCAACAGCAACAACAACAACAACAACAACAACAACAGCTACAACAACAACAGCTACAACAACAACAACAAAAGGGTTCCAAACCCAGGACCAACCGCTGACCCACTCAAAGGACATCCACCTGTGATCCGTTACGAAGGGCATTAATTTGAATTCACCACAATTTACTCTTGTCAACACTATTAGTTGTTCTAATTATTTTTATGAGCACTCTCAGTAAGGATTATTTCTGTAGAATCACTAAAAGTATTGATTATTCTTGTGAATTTCGGCTTAATTTATTTAAGAATTTCAGTTATTATAGTAAAGTGATTGTTATTCTTGAATTTGATTTGGAATATTTATTTTGATTGTTTATAGTTTCATTAAATTTCGCGATCCAAGTAGTTATCACATTTGTTGGCAATAACAAGATTTTATTAAGTTTTTATTTAATAACAAACGACCATTATATTTCAGTTTATTTCCCTTGATCAGATTTGAGCATAAATAAAGCCAACCATTTTTTACATCTCTCTATTATTTTTTTTAAATAACGATATGGAGTAACAAGAAAAAGTTAAATTCCAAATTTATTTACTCTTACATTGGTATGTTTGATTTTTTAAAATGGAAAAGGAATGCCACATTCATTCGGAATGTGGCATTCCGATTCCCGTGTTTTCATCCAATGTATTGAAGTCCCGTGTTTTTGCTTCTTAGACAGAAAAGTCACGTCTTTTGGGAATTCTCTCAAAAATAAAATCGCCATAAATTTCAGGGATGAAAAAAAAATATAATTTTAGATGTAAAACAAAATGTACTATATTTACATTGACTAAAAGCATATTTGAATATGCTTTTGCTCTTTTTCTTTTGAAATTTTTCAACAATATATGTGTGTGTGTGTGTGTGTGTTTAGACGTCTCGATGAAGATGATAGAATAAAATTGAGCAATATAACAAAATTTAATATGCATTTTAATGTAACTGCTCATTATGACTAGTTAAGAATTTACTCAATCTCAGCAGAAACAAATGAGGAAAATTAAGGGGAACAGAAGTGAAGAAGGATTTGGGAATCTCAAGGGGGGAGGAAGGATCGGAGAGAATAATATGGCACTGGATGGCACTTCGATCGATTTGTAAGTCCGCCAAAGCGACTTTTGTTTTACCTTTATCTAAACTATTAAAATAAATCATCTCATTTTCTGAATAGA